CTCTTAGGGAATGATGAGAGTAAAACAAAGACAGCCTTTGTTTTAGAATCCAACATGCCCCCCCCCCTTCTCACACACAGTACCTCGAAAGACTTGCCTGTTGTAGGTGTCTAGTCTAAGTGTGTACTATTTGTCAGCAGAAATATCTAAATGTTATGCCTGTACGTTACTTTAAATGATTTTAGCAAGTTTGTTACCCTTATAAATGTGCCTCATGGATTATTTCCTTTTTAGGATCAAGGGCTTTCTGAGCAGAACAGTATTTCCCTTAAGGGGACCCATTTAAATTAAGTTACTGCCTTCCCATATTCCATTTTTTTTTTTTTGGTACTGTTATTTTATGTTCTGTGTTGTCTGTCGTGTGTTAGTTGTAGTGTTAGGAATAAATGCATGCCTTTCATACATTTTTAATCTCTGGCTGAAAGATTGCTACATAATTAACTCATTTCACTGGTGTAAAATCACTACTGATGCTCTGAATCACTGAATCTTAAGTCTTAAGCTTGTGCTAAAGTATGGCAGGACTCTCTACGGCCATGAGCAGTGTTGCTATAAAGCTGCTACATGCCTGATGAGAGTTACGTTACTGAGCAAATGTTCTAACTCAGGTTAAGAAGTTACAATGTAATTAATGAATTCCACTCATATGCTCGAACTAAATCTACCAGTAACTGAACAATTGGTAGTTTTATAATGTTTATTGGAGAATAAATACCGTTCTATGATCATAATTAATTAAATATTAATAATTAAGTAACAAATAATTAATTTCCCTAGATATTGGTGGAGACAAATTATTTGAGCTAATTTTCCCTATATGGATGACTTCAACAATGCATCTGTTAAGTCAACTCCCCAAATTTCATCAGCACATATATTAGGAAATCATACTGGAAATTGTTTGCACAAACATTGCCTGTGCATACATGGCTGCTCCTCGGCCCCACCTTGGACAATCGGATGACATCTCCATCTTTTTCACCCCAGCCTGCAGACCAGTCCTGAAAGAGGTGAGAACTTGGGCCCCAGGGATCCATCTCTGCATTGCAGGACTGTGTTGAACGTATAACCTGGGACATTTTTAAGGAAGCTACCACCTACAACAGCTCAATGGATCTGGAGTAGTATACAGCCTTGGTGACTGGCTACATTAGCTAGTGCCTTGAGGATGTTACTGTCTCCAAAAGCATCACAAACCGGGCTAATCACAAGCCCTGGTTCACTACAGAAGTGCACACTCTGGTGAAGACCAGAAATGCTGCCTTTAAGTCTTCTGATAAGGAGGCTCTCAGTACAGCCAGAACTACACTGTCTCAGGCCGTCAAGGCAGCAAAGCGTGCTTATGCACTGAAAATCCACAGCCAAATCAAGAACTGCAGAGACACACGGCACATGTGGCAGGAAATTCAGTCCATGACTACTATAAGCCAACTCCTCAGCCTTGTAGCAGTGATGTCTCCCTGCCGGACGCATTAAATGAATTCTACATACGTTTTGAGGCACAGAACCAAGAGATCAGTGAGGAATGCCATCCCTCCTCCCAATGCGTGGGTCCTCTACCCAAGGATGATGTCAGGAAAACTCTAAGCAGAGTTCACTTACGAAAACCACTGCGCCAGACCCTCAGGGAATGTGCTGAGCAGCTTGCAGATGTCTTCACAGACATCTTTAATGTGTCCCTCAGCACAGCAGTGGTGCCTGTCTGCCTCAAGACAACTAGAATCATCCCAGTGCCCAAGAAGTCAACTGTATCCTGTATCCTGGGGTAAACTCCAAACACAACATGCAACATTAATGACCGGACTGGGGAAACAAACTGAAACATGGACTAAATAATGACGGCATCAGGAAACAGCTGGTGAACATGGGGAATCCACACAGGGTAGATGAGGGGGCATGGCACATGATTCTTAGACTTGGTCTTAGATGGACCTCATCCCCACATCAGGGGTCTGGACAGAGGTGTCCTTTTATGATGCCTTAATTTAAAAACTTTTTTTTTTTTTACTTTACTTTTACTTCATAATCCTACTGGCCTCGAAGATGTTAGAGTTTCTGGTAGTCAGTAGTCTGGATTTTTGTAGCAGATGATAACTAATAAATTACTCTATTTGTAAAGCATTTGTATAGGATGCTGGCATTTTGTACAAAAAATTCACCAATGTTTTCTTATCTGAATTTGTTCTTAGCTAAGAAAGAATCTATGCGCACTCAAGACCATTCGTATGCATATTTGAATAATGATAGTTTGTTCAAAATAATCGGTTATGGCAGTTTTGTTCATTCTACGGTTCATAAAATGATAGTATTTGAATAATTTATAAAAGTAAAATATAAATAATTTTAAAGTGTAAAAATTATTTTCATGGTAGTAACGGCAATCATGCGGATTATAAATAGGTCTGTTTCAGCGCATTGGCCTTGCTATCAAAATGGCATTTCTGTTACTTCTTGAAGAGCTTGCCAATCATGCTCTGAGAAGGGAACACATGTTTGAAGATCATTTAGATTTATTTGGCACACAGCGTTCACAGAGAAGGTGATATCACTCTATGTATCAGCCTTCTTGGGGGCTTTATATCCACTGGTTACACTACTAAATAACGTGTCTATTTGCATTTACCTCCTGTACAGTAAAATCGAGTTATAACGGACTTCAAGGGACCTGGCAAAACAGCCCGTTATATCCAAAGTCCGTTATATATCCAGAGTTGCTGTATGCCCAGAACACAACTACAGGACACCATTTACTCATGCCACACCCCAGCGGACACACTTGCCGAACAAAACTACAGCTAAAAGCGGCCCTGGGGACCAAATTGTTTGTCCATTATAAGCGAAATTCCGTTATATGCGAGTCCGCTATATCTGATGCTTTTTCTGCATGTTCTTAAAGGCGCACGGCCAGGACCAGCGGACCTCGTCCATTATAGACGATATTCCATTATAAGCGAGTCCACTATAACGGGATTTTACTGTATTAATACTTCTACTTCAGCATTACTGAAGTTTTTTTTCCTCTTAGTGCCAAGCGGCTCACACACGGCCCTACAGTCTCATGCCCTTTTATGGGAAATTGCAGGGCGTTTCCCTATGTTAATTGGGACAAACTGGCACACGCTTTCAGTTATGAAGACG